CTCAGACAAGCAGCTGAGGTCACAGAGGCTACGTCCTCATAGGATGGGGCCCTCACGAGGTCCGGGGGGCACTCAGAGACAATAGGATGGAAACGACACCCCGGAAGTCATTCCCAGCTTCAAGACCACAGGCTTCCAGGGGACCGGTCCAGCTCGAGCCTCCCGCCCTCCCCCTGCGCTCCCGAGACTCTCGGAGCCCTGCGACAGCACGGGTCAGCAATGCTGTGACCAGGAAAGACCCTCAGAGATCTGGCCCAAGGCTCTCACGCTCCAGACAGCCCTTGGAAACCCAGAGAAAGCGTGATGACCGCGGCGATACTTTGAGGGGCCGTCCGAAGTCCCTGGGAAGTGGAATCCAAGTACGAGCGTATTTTGGTGCGAAACAACTTTGAAATGCACGCACAGCTTATTCAGCATATGCATTTTCCACGAACGTTTTCACAAATTCACGTGCGAGAGAGGGAGGCACGCTCAACAGGGTTTTGTCACACTCGGACCCCCTTTCCCCAGCCCTCCCGCTCGTCAGCATCTTGGGCCCGAGCGCCGGCACTGGGGTGCTTTCAAGCTGACCCGGGGACCCGAGCACACCACCAGCCATGAGGCCTCCAGCCCTGCAGTCCGGTTTGCTGCTGGCTGTGCCACCAGGCTGTGCCTCCCTGTACCTCTGAAGACCCCTCACCCCGCAATCTTCACGCGGACACTGCAGCACACACGTGCGCGGCTCCGCCCTCACCCACACCATCTCTGTGAGTCCCCACGCCAACCCGAGGAGGGGGCGCTGCAGCTCCCACTTCACAGATGGGAAGAGTGAGGCTCAGAGAGGTTAAGAGACTGGCCCAAGGGGGCAGAGCCTGGGTCCACACCCTGCTGGGCGTGGGTGTAGGGAGGTGGCCCTGTCGACCCAAAGACCCTCTCTGCTTGGCCTTCTTCTCACCCCTCACCCAAGCCTGCCGCCTGGCAGAATCCTGAGCCGTAAACTGCCCTTCAGGCCTCTGGGGGCTGAAAGAAGGGCAAACTAGGGACACCAAGAAGCGTCTCCCACACAGGCAAGAAATTGTGACTTGTCACTTAGAAGGCTCTGTGCCAGCTGACAGGTGGCAGTTGAGGAATTGCGGAGGACGGTCTGTGGAGGCAGGTGTCTTCAACAGTTTGGAGGGGGCTGGCTTTTACAGCATGTGGGCTGGACCCAGAACCATATAGAACCTTCTCGAGCTGGTACGGAGACACCACTTTCCAGCTCTCCTCGGGAAACGCTGCGGTATTATTATTATTATTATTTTGCCAGAGGGCATGTGCACTTGTTGGAAAAAGAAACAGAGAGCTAAAGCATCCCCCATGGAGGATGGTCACGCCTCAACCCCCTCACCACCATTTCTCCCTCCTGCTGGGAATTTGGACCTGTCCACACGCTGGCATGTTTTTAACGCCTCTGAGTCTGAGGCTCGAACCGTGCCCTTGGCCATGCGGGATCCAGCTGCCTTAACCTCCATGCTACCGGCTGGCCCCAGGATTTTGTTGTTATTTTTGTTGATATATTAACAAACCCTGCTGTTACTATTATTATTGTTCTTCAAAGATTGCAAAGCCACACTGTCATTCTAAAAACTTCCCTTCCTGGCTTAAAGATTAATTTCCAGTAGGGATAACGTTTGGGGTATTACGGATTTCAGTTAAGTATTCAGAATTAATATTTTGGACACACGCCCATTTGTAAAGAACAGAGCCCTAACCTAGCCTGTGCCACCTCGCTGTCCCCTCCCAGGCCACGAAATCCCAGTGCCTGGACTTCATTTTAATGGTTCAAATCCCCTGGGTCTAGCCCAGCAGTTCTCAACCAGGGGCAATTGTACAGCCCTCCCAGGGGACTCTGGGCCATGCTGGTTGACATAATGGGAGGCAGGTGCTCCTGGCATGGAGGCCAGGAATGTCCCTCCACATCTTCCCACGCAGAGGGGCCCCTCCTTGAGGAATGATCCAGCCCAGGCCCAGGTAAAGCAGAGGAGCCGTCTGGGCCGGTGGAGGTCTCTAGGGGAGTTGACCCACCATCCACTTGTTTCTGTGCCATGGGGCTTCAAACGCAGAGAACAGTCACTGCCACAGGCATCGGAGAAGAGAGGCCAGGAGCGGGTCTAAACCCCTCCGTGGGCCTCTGTGTACACCCAGGAAGGAGGTGCAGATATGGAAGCAGCCGGGCTTTTTCATTTTTAAAAAAATAATAACTTATTTTATTAATTAATTCATTTATTTTTTAAATTTGACCAGAGAGAGAGACAGAGGGTGAGAGAGAGAGGAAGTGAGAAAGCAAGCCACCAGATTTAGGACTTGAACCCTGGTCAGCCATGTGGGAGTGTCCAGCACCTTAACCACCACACCACCTGCTGGTCCCCAATAGCTGGGTTTTTTCTAAACAAGCCCTTCTCATTTCCAGAGCGCGCAGGTTAATGTACGCAGCGGTCTGTCCGCGGACTGCGGGAACCTGCAGTTCACAGTTCGTTTCCCGAGTCCGGTTCTGCTGGTCAGTACCGGGTCATCCAGCAGCTGCCTTCCCCACACTTCAGCCACAGGACGGTCACCCTGTCCTCCCACTGAACCACAAGGCAGCCTGTGGGGAGTTCCCTCCTCATCTCCCTTTACAGGTGACAAGGCGGCATCTCCGAGGCTGCCTTGCCGCACCCAGAGCCACGTGTGTGCTGGCCAAGCCTCCTGCCTGACCTCTCCACGCCGCCAGCCGGGCAGCCTCACACTCCACCCTTTCCCAGGGGCGGTCCCGTCCCCTCTGGAGTCACAAACCCAGTGCACCCAGGAAGGAGCTGGGCGGACCCAGAGGCCCTGCACTGAAAGGGGTGGGGGAGGAAGCACGGGGAACCATCGGGGCAGATGAGAGCAAGGGAAATGGCCTTTGGCCACTTCGCCAGGCAAGCCGGCCACGGCTATGCTATTTTTAACTTTTGAAAAGTCAGGGAGTGGGCCCTGTGTGAAAGAGGAAGCCCCGGGCTGGGCAGCCAGTCCGCCATGCCGAGCGCTGACATCTGCCCTAATTCTGCAGTCGCAGCCGCACAAATACCATCGCTCGCTGCCGCCCGACACAGTGACAATCACAACCGTTAGGGACACAGACCTCGGGCACTGGGAATTAGCGGGAGCTGGCCTGGCGCAGCCTGCTGGACAGATGTCGCCTTGAGTGATTCTCGCGATAAGCCACAGGGAAGTAGCGTTAGCTCGGGTCTGCAGATGAGTAAACCGAGGCCGGCTCCCACTGGCTTAGGAAACTGCCTCGGGTCACACTCTGGAAAGTGGCAGCGCCTGGCCTCCCGCCCAGGTCTGCTGGACCACAGAGTCTAGGAATGCACCAGGTTCTTCTGACCAGGAACGGAGCGCAGAGGAGCCCGGGGCTGGCACAGCAAGGGCAAGGTCAGCCCAGGTCCCTGACTCGGGCCACACACCCCAACAACAGGGCTCCTGGGTGCAGAACCAGGCCCTGGTGCCTGAGAACACCTGGAAAGCCCCGTGTCCAGGTGGGGAGCTGAGGCTGGAGTCAGGTAGAACTGGGTCTGCCCCTCGGGCTGTGCAGCCCCAGTCGGGCCCGTTCTGTCCACCGCTCTCATGGGGACCTAGCCCCTCCACTGTGTCTGTCCCAGTTCTGAAGGACTCCCTGGCTCCCCTGCCCTTCCTGCGCAGACATAGGAGCCAAAGGCCCATGGAGAACCCGTTTCTTGACAACCGTCCCAGATGCCTTGCAAAGCCGGCGGAGGTTTCTCAGCTTAAGGCTTCTTAGGAAAGTTCCTCATGGAGTAACCGAGAAGCCTGTGTCCCTCCTGGCATGGGGCAGCCTGCCCCCCACCTGAACCAGACTGAGAGCTGCTCTGGAGCGCCGGAGGGCACAGTGCAAGAGTCCGGCTGTGGGGGGGCCCGAGAGTATCTAATGGTGCCCCCGGATCTTTGGGGTGATCATGGTTACAGCCTGGTTTCAAGTGATCCTCCTGTTTCCCTCAAACTTCAGGCCGTAAGTGGAGAGGCCACGAGATTTGGTGTCCAGCCACCCTCCACCCCGCCTTATTTACAGGTGGCCCTGATATATCAATGACAAGGCCCAACTCCTGGGGAAATTCTCCCAGCTGGCCCTCGCTTGGGAGATCAGCAAGGCAGAGAGGCTACGGGGAGAGTCCGCGGCCAGGGACGGAGTCAGGCCTGCCCCTCAGGGCCCGCCTGCTCTAAAGGGGCTTCTGTGCTCAGAAACAACTAAATTCAAGTGAAGAGGCTTCCCTTCCTCCTACTGCTGTGCCTTCCACACCGGGCATGGCCTTCTCTGGGAGCAGGGAAACCTCTAGAAGAAGGGTCCAAGGGTCCTCCCTGAGGCCTACATCAGCCGAGGATCACCTCGGAGGCCAGGCTGCAGAGGAGAGGTCACTGGGCTACTATGGCTGCTCCTAGGCGGGGCCCCACATAGAGACCCCTGCACACGGACCCTCACTGCTGCGCAGAGCACCCCACTGCCTCGGAGACGGCGGCACTTTGCTGGGAAGCCATTGCTAAAACTAGCCATCCCCTCAGACCCGGAACGGCATTCCCCCAGGTCCTGGAAACACCGGAAAGGCCAGCTGAGCCCAGCCACACGGCTCTGCTGCCGAGTATCTGCCACGTGTGCTCACAGGTCCTGGGCCAGGGCACAGCGGCGGCCTCTCTGCTGACCCCTGACAGCTCTGACACTTAGGGCAGACGCATCCTTGTTTTGCCGAAGAGGCTCAGGGAGGAATGCTCCTCTGCTTTCTCGGCATCTTGCAGGAAGGACACAGGAACCCTGGGGGCAAGGGACAGTGGCAGGGCAGATCCTGAAACCAAGACCCCAATCTGGATCAGCAGGTAATCCCTCCAGGGAGTCACCTGACTGCAGGACTCAGAGGCCACCTTCAGACCTGCCTGAAGCCGGATGGCCCTGGCGAGGCCCTTCTCCTCGGCCCTCCAACCCGGCCCAGGCCCGCCCTCCGGCCAGCAGTACTCACATGCCCTGCTCCCCGTACTGGTTGTAGAACTCCATGTGGCTGCACGCCTGTATCCAGCCGACCACCCAGGTCTCTTTCTTGGGGATGGGCGGCATGACCACCTGGGCCGAGGCCCGGAAATGGGGTGTCCGGTAGCGGAGCACCACGCTGGAGGACTCGTCAATGCTGGTGGGGATGGGGTCGATAGAGGCCTTCACATCAATGACTGTGATCCCTTCCCGGAAGACTCTGGCTTTGCCTCCGATGCTCTGAATACAGCCCATGGCACACAGGACCGCTCTGATCTCCAGGGAAGGCCAGCAGTCCCAGAGGAAACCGGGCATTGAAAGGACGGAGGCTGCGGGACCCAGTGCGGAGGCCGTCCAAGCTCAGACGGCAAGGCTGGTATCCATAGGATAGAAACTCACTGGGCGGAGGGGGTTTGCATATCACTCCCGACGGCCTCTTATAAATAAGGATTCTGCTGCATTTCCAGAGCCCTGGGCTCTCTCTTCTTTTAGCAGTGGACAAAAATCACCGATATTCTTTGGGTTAAAAAAAGCAAAGTTTGGAATTTAATGGATAATCATGTTGTTCCGACGCCCAGCCCTTCCGTGCTCACACGCGGGGACGGCAGCGCGGAGACTCTCCCTGAAGTCTTCGGAGGAAGGAGGCAGCGCTGGCAGACACATAAATGAGGAAGGCTCTGTCCCCGCGCGGTCGCGCCACCCTCGCTGCAGAAGCGCGACTTCCTGCCCTTCTGCCTTCCGCACGCGCTCGCTCCGGCACACGCACCCGGCTCCGGCCCAGCGGCGCGAATCAGCCGGAGAGCAGTTCCTGTTCAGTTGGCCCGGGACCCGCGCCCTCGGGGCCGAGCGCCGAGCGGCGGCTTCCCGGAGGCGAGCTCGGGGTCCGGAGCACAGCACGGCGCGGATCACTGTCGGCGCCCACCTGCGGGCGCG